CCTCAGCTGCAGCGCGGGGCTCCGAGGCGCCCTGGCTCAGCCGGGCTGCGGGGTAGGGGGGCAGCCGCAGAGGCCCTGAGTCCCACCTCCCGCCTGCCGCCAGGTTCAGGGCTCATGGAAAATTCGGGATCAGACCCAGGGTGATACCCCTTTGCAAACCCACCCCACACCCTGAGGCGAAAGAGCGGATTTGGATTCGCTCTTGGAATTTATGGAGGTTTTTGGGGCGGTTCATGGAACATAACACGTATCTAGCGAAGATTCCATTTCCAAGGTATCTGGAAGACGTTTGTGCGCACGTAGTCGGACACAAACCCAGAGAAATGCGCATACACAGCTATGGACACACAGAAACGCATAGCTCCATTCTGCGCGCACACATACGCAATTATTTACACACAGAAACACATTCGCTCAATGACAGACACAGAAATACATACAATTACGGACTCAAAAATACACACAGGAGGACACTGAAATACATAGGCAAAAAGAGGCACACACATCCCTATACAAACCCGCACATAAAAATTCCACACAAAAAGGAACTTGACCGGCATATGCACCAATTCGTGGACACCCAACACTTGGACCCTATTTGTCCTTTGGTCTTTTGCTTTCCTAAAAGCCCTTTGGACACACACACACACACACACACACACACACACACAGAAAGGGCTTGCTCTCCAGCTATAATTACCCTCCTCCCCAGCCCTCCTCCCCAGATAAAGCAGTCCACATTTCTTTGTCACCAAGCATCTTTATTTTTCTGTTACCTAAAACACGGTTAGCTGGGCGAGGCGGAAAGCATACCTTCCTGTTCCTGGAACCCGAGGCTAGAGCTGAGAGGGACGATAGGGGGACGCAGGACAACACAGATGAAGGGCACCAGGGAGGGCATTGGCTCTCCCCACCTGCTATAGAGTTAGCTCAAGACAACACACCATGCTACAAGGTCACCCCATTAACACATCCTTCCCAAGTCAAGACATTGCCTTACAAATGAGCTCCAAGACTTATATAAATGACAAAAAAAAAAAAAAAAACTTGTTCAAATATACAATATTTGCTATTGTAGGAAAAGTCAGGGTGTACATATTCAACATGGCTGGGCAGTAGGACACAGGGGCAGGGAGGGGGTCAGGGAGGCTGGGAGCATCTCTGCAGTCCTACTAAGCAGAAGCTAACTCAGAAATCTGCAGCCAGCTTGGGAATGCTCCCCTCCAGAAGTGGGGGGTGACGGGCCTGAGCTTGGAGTACCCAGGCCAGAGAAGAGGGAATTCTAGATTGCAGCACTTAGAATGCTTTGGAATAAATATATTATTTTTCAATTTAAATAAAAGCCAATGCCCTGGTCCCCCGGCCCCAGCACCTTCTCAGTGCAGCCTCAGGGACCCCCCAAAGGCTGCCAGCCACAAGCAGCAGGGGCCTGGCTTGGGAGGGGCCGGCACTAGGTAGGAGGTGAGCCAGCGAGCACAAAATAGGTAGTTTGGGACAAGTAGGTAGTACAGAGAGAATCAGGTCCTTGACCTATGGGAGAGGTGCTGGGTGTCTGCCAGTGTTGGGACACTCTGGGCTTCCTGGGAGTGGAGGTCCGCTGGGGCTGGGCCCATAGGTAGTTTGGGGGTGCCTCTCTCCGAGGCCTGTGCTAGGTAGTATTTTAGCCATGCCAGCGCAGAGCCAGCCGGCCTTGGGATGAGGGGGGTGTCTGCTGGGGGTCCTCAGAGGCAGAGGGGATCCCCAAGGGAACCCAGTCTAGGCGGCTGCTGTCCAAAACAGTTGGGAGCTGGAGTGGGTCATGGGGTCCATGGGGTGCAGGTTGGGGACTGGGTTTTTTGTTTTTTTTGTTTTTTACATTTTCTTTTTATTTTTCCACTTTTGTAAATAAAATCGCTGTGTCTCTAAAGACGCTTTCCTGACTGTCTGGTGCAGCCAAGGGCCCGGCTGGACCCTCATTCCTCCTCCTGGTCGTCGTCGTCGTCGTCGTC